AAACTTTAGAAATAGGTGAATGTGGCTTTAGCTGATGACTAAGTACACATGTCTAATGTCATATGACCTAAATTTTTTTTAGTTTCTCTTCTCCTTGTAAGAAAAAACTCTTCTTTATGGATCCCAGATTGACCTCTATTAGTTTTTGAGTATTCCTATAATGATAAGGATCCCAGATTGGCCTCTCTTGGTTCATGTTGGATTTTGATGTGGCTTCTCTTACATTGGATAATTGGATTAGTTTTATTGAATTAGTTTTTACAGGTTATTTATAGTTGAGTCAGTCTTATTTTAAAAATTAACCTGGTTAAAAAAAATATAATCTACAATGGTTCTACGTAAAAATTGACTTAGATGTATACATACATCTAAGTCGGTTCTTAACAAAAGCTGACTTAGATGTATGTATACATCTAAGTCAGCTTTCAATACAAACCGACTTAGATCAACATATACATCTAAGACTGTTTTATGAAAACCGACTTAGATCAACACATATATCTAAGTCAGTTTTTACATAACCGATGTAAATATGTTCCTTCATCTACGTCGCCTTCATCTAAGTCAGTTTTAGAACAGATGTAGATATGACAAAATAACCGACTTAAAATACAATTTTTCTAGTAGTGTTAGTAAAAGTTACACCAGTGTTAGTATAACCCTCCTTTCTCTCTCTCTCTCTTTATATATATATATATATATATATATATAAGGATGTTGTATGTTGAGAATTGCAGTTTTGGTATTCTTGATGAGAGATTGTAATGTTGGTAATTGCCTTGACTGTTGGTGCTTGCATGTTAACCTTTTATGGTTTAGGTAGCATGTAAGTTTTATTTCAGTTTCTAAGTCTTTTGCGCTGAATATATGAGTTATTTTGGTTTAGGATTGTAATGGGAAGCTTGGGTATGAGTTTGAGGGGGAAAGGAGTGAGTTTGGAAGGGTTGAGGTATTTTCGTGGCCTTAGATGTTGATACACTATTATTGTCTAGTGTAGAGGATGTTTTCACTGCAATTTTGTTGTGCCAGTATGAGTACCGTATTGACAAAATTAGATTTTGTAGTCTTCAGGAAAGTTGAAGCCTTGGATGTTATCTTTCCAATGGAACTAGGATCAGGTAGAACGGAGGTCTAGAACTCTAGTTATAGCTGCTTTGGTAATTAGAGGTCTAGCTGTTAGCGCTAAATATATCTGTTGTGGTTTTGGAATTTTTAAGCTAAGAAGATTATTTTTTTTTAGAATCTCATGTCTTCATAAGGGTTGTAGCTTATTCTCTTAGCTTTCTTTTGTGATATGTTTGAGATCATTTGGATGAGTATAATTCTTTATATATCATTTCTTTGACAGTTGTTGAAGGGAGATGTATGTTGTAATAATGTTTTTAGGTTGATTAGGCAATGCAATGATAAAAACTAATTTGGTTATGATGTTTTGAGACATTGTCATATGGAATGAAAGGTTATTTAAGGTTGTATGATGTTATGTGGTAAAGTTGGTTCATGTACATGCTATATGGAGTAAACGGTGATTGATTCATGCATGCTTTTGTTCTTCTTGGAAGCTCCTATTCCTTGCACTTCATCCAAAGATTCGAGAAGAATTGAAGTATTCCTTGAGGATTCTTGAAGTAGAACCTCATCAGAAAACAAAAGACACAATATAATAAAAACAAAATTAAATGTTATGAAATAGTAACAGCCACACACAGAGAATTAAACTAAATATAAACATCTAATAACAAATATTTTTAAAAAATGTATCATATGCAAATTATATATATTATAAACTTATATAATTTTATTCACAAATAAAAAAAACCTTAATTTAATATGAATTTATTAAATACTTTTTTTAATGCAAACACATCATGATAGCCTAACAAATAAAATAACTTTCACTCACAAGGGTAAGAAGTTTGTGCTTCATCCTCTATCACCTTCACAAGTGATGGAAGACCAAGTACAAATGAAGACCAAACATGAGCAAGAGAAAGGAAAAGAAAATAAAAAAAAATGAAATTTTTTTTCTTCTAAAAACTAGTAATCAAGAGGATTATAGAGAGTCTAGTGTTCCCTCTCTAGAGATAGTTCAAGAAGAGACATTTGAAACAAAAAATTTACAAAAAATCACTCTCTTACTTGAACCATCTTCTCATATCCTCATGTGTAGAGGAACACTCACATGCACTGCCACAAGTTCTTTGGAAACTTCTCTACCTCTTGAGGTTACAAATCTTTTAAAAGAATTTGATGATGTATTCCCTAGTGAATAACCTACGGGACTTCCACCTTTTAGGGGAATAGAGCATCAAATAGATCAGATCTACCTAAGGTAGAAGTTGTGCTTAAGTGGGAGATACCAAAAGTCTATTAATGAGGTTAGGAGTTTTCTTGGGTTAGTTCTTTGTTATTGGAGATTTATTGAGGAAATTTCTAAGATAGCATTACCTTTGATTGGATTGACCAGGAAGAGATAGTTGCCTTTATGTGGGATAGTAAGTGTGAGAGTAGTTTCCAAACTCTTAAGGAAAGATTGGCTAGTGTTAATATTACCGGATTTTAGTAAGTCTTATGTGGTATATAGTGATGCTTCTAAAGATGGGTTTGGATGAAGTGTTGATGCAAGAAGGAAGGGTAGTAGCTTATGTTTCTAGGCAATTGAAAATTCATTAGAGAAATTACCTTACCCATGACCTTAAGTTAGCGGTTGTAATATTTATACTAAGATTTGGAGACACTACCTATATGATTCTAAGCTTGAGGTATTTAATGATCATAAGAGCCTTAAATATTTGTTTGACTTGAAGGAGTTAAATATGAGACAAAGGAGATAGTTGGAATTTCTTAAGGAATAAGATTTTGATCTTATTTGTTATCTGGGTTAAGCCAATGTGGTGGTCAATGCTTTGAGTAGGAAACCTCTACATTTAACTTCCCTTAAGATTAGAGAGATGGACCTTTTGGCTCGGTCTAAGGATTTAAGTTTGACTTGTGAGATTACTCCTAGTAATGTGAAACTAGGTATGACTAGAGTGACGAATGAATTGTTGAAGGAAAATGGAGAAACATAATTAGTTGATTCATTTTGGTGACAAGACTTGAAGATCGAGTATGAGTACATAGTGAACTTACACTTAGGCACTTGATCCTTGGAGAGGGTCATAAAAGTAAGACTAATATTGTGGCAGATGCCTTGATTAGGATGACCATTCACCTATCATCTTTGATGATTTAAAGGTTGGATTTGATCGAAGAGTTTAGAGACTTAAGCTTGGTGTGTGAGATTACCCTTAGGAGCATTTAATTGAGTATGTTGAAAGTGATTAGTGAATTAATGGATGAGATTATAAAAGCACAGGAGTTAGATCCTTTCTTAGTGAACCAAGTAGAGAGGATTGGTAGGGGTATAGATAACCCTTTTTGAGTAGGAGTTGATGTTGTTTTGAAATTCAAGAATAAAATTTAGGTGCTTAGTAATCCTGAATTTAGGAAGATGATCTTAGAGGAAGGACATAAGAGTACTCTTAGCATTCATTTAGGAGCTACTAAGATGTATCAGAGTGGCGCAACGGAAGCATGGTGGCCTAAGGTAAAGAAAGGAGTAGAGGAATTTATGTACTCGTGTGTAGTATGCCAGAAGCCTAAGGTAGAACACTATAAGTCTTTAGGATTTTTACAACCTTTAGACATCCCATTTTGGAAGTGAGATGGTGTGTAGATAGACCTTGGTTGTAGGTTTGCCTATAGATGCTTATGAAATTTGATTCTTTTTGGGTTATAGTGGATAGACTCACCAAGTTTGCTTGTCTTACCCTTATTGATAATAGATATTCCTTAGAGAGATTGATAGAGTTGTACATCAGTGAGGTAGTGAGGTTATATAGGTTTTCCTACTAGTATAGTTTCCGAATAATGTTTTTAGGTTGATTAGGCAATGCAATGATAAAAACTAATTTGGTTATGATGTTTTGAGACATTGTCATATGGAATGAAAGGTTATTTAAGGTTGTATGATGTTATGTGGTAAAGTTGGTTCATGTACATGCTATATGGAGTAAACGGTGATTGATTCATGCATGCTTAGGGATGGTATATATGAAGGTTTAAAGTAGGTATTCTAATATGATTTGATATGCATGTATGTTGATATGTGGATAGATGACCTTAGGGATCAATTAGTGAATGTTTGTGTGTTTAGTGAGATTGACCTTAGGATGTGATATCATATTGGAGTTGAGGGTGAAAATATATCCAAGACAGCTTTACGTTAAGTTATCTAAGTGTGATTTTTGATTGTATGAGGTGAGTTTTCTTTTCACCATTAGATATGAAAACACTTCCATAAAAGTGATTGTAAGGCAACTAACCCATGTTGAGGAAATGATTTTGCATAATGGGAACATTCATATAAATTCTGTGATGCCTAATAACTTTTTTACTTTATACTTTTGAATTTCTTTGATTGTATTTTGTAAATTTCACAACCACCAAAAGAATTTGTAAATTACTCACACCTAAAAAAAAACTTATTTTCCAACAAACTTAACTAAATATTAATTCATATTTACAACATACAAATTCATAAAATCAATTAAATATCACCTTTTATTTTTTTAATAATTTATAATAAACTATTTAATTAAACAAAATAGTATCAATAAACAAGCATCCCACATGTTATAAATTTTAGTTGTCCCACATACTCCTATTTGGTAACAATTATTTTTCCAAGAAAAGCACAGCTGAAAAATTAGAAAATAATATTTCCTAAATGCTATAACCACCTACATTCAAACCCCAAGCTCAAATCCACCTGGCTATACTAAAAATTACTTTGATATTGATTTTTTTATGCATATTTTATATTGATATAAATAATAGAAAAAAAAAATTAAAACCCACCTGGCTGTTATTAATATTTGTTTTTCCCTTCCCAGACAATTATTTACTAATTTTCCTTTCCCTCCCTTTTTCTCGTGTCCAAATAAAACCCCAAACGCACGCCACAATCAAAACAACTAAAAAGCTTCCTTTTCCTCTTCACTCCAACTCTCTTCAAATTATCGTCCCTCGCCACTTCAAAAACCACCATGCCCTTGGATCCCGCCGCCGCCACAACCGCCGCATCGCGACCCATATCGCCGCTCCCTCAGGCGCACTCGCACCACCATTACCCTTCGCAACAACAACAACCACAACAACAAACCCTTCCAATTCGCGCCCCAAGCCCTCTCTTGGCCAAACCCCACGACCCCCACTTCGTCTACCCCTTCGCGCCCAAGGCCGTCAGAGGCCTCGCCTCCGCCGATCACGGCGCCGCCGCCGCCGGGTTCCCACCTCCCTCCCTCATGTACGGCGGCGGCGGCGGCGTCCGCACCATGCCGCTGGACTATCTCAGCCACGCCTTGCACGTGACCAGGCCGGTGCCTCACGTGCCGTTCCCCCACGCGGGTAACGCCACCACCACTCCCACCGCCTCACCTCCAGTTAAGAAGGTTCTGACTTTGAAAACTCGTTTTTTTTATTTTGGAATTTTATATACATACATATATATAAATATATATATTTTTTTTATAACCGCGTTTTTAGTATGAAATATTTACCAGTTTTTTTTTGCCAATGACTAGTATCTATTGCCTGACTGGTCACCTTTAGTGATGTTATGTGTCCTTGCATAATGGGGTCGAGTTCAGTACCACTCAGACCAACGACTAATAGTTGTTGCCTTGTAGGTTACTTAGGCCTTGCTTAATGGTCGAGTCCAGTATCACTTGAACCAAAGATTTGTTGGTGGAGTTTTACAATTTTGTGGAAGAGTGATTTATGTTAGAATGAATAAATGATGATTATGGTTTTTCCTTTTTTTTTTTTTTTTTAATGAGATTCTAAATATTGTGGTGTTTTAAATTTTAATGATAGTACCAATTGGATTCGATGTGGTTTGAAATTGAAAGTGTACCTTTGGTGTTGGTTGATGTAGTGTGGTGGAAATCTTATGCTGTTTTTTTGTTTTTCAAATTGTTCATATTCCGTTGTTTTTGGTTTGGTTTTAGGCTGCTCCTCGGTCTGCGGTTTCTGATATCAATGGCAGTAAAGACACGAGTATGAGGTGAATTTTTTGAAAATATATTTATGTGGTGTTCTGCCATGTCTTTGAATGGTAATGGAGTTGGATTGATATCTCTGATTGGTTTCTCAGGGATAAAGGCAGAGATGATACATACATTGTTGTTAGAGATCGAAAAGTGAGTCTCTTTTTGTCTTATTTTACATCCTTTGCATTGTATGTCTTACAATGGTGTTTATAATGAATTCATTCGCAGTTAATATGACGTGGTTCCTTTTTGTATGTGGTGTAATATGCTGTGTGCAATTGCAACTGCTTGTTTAAATTTTTGTTAAAAGGGATCTGCACGATGAGCTTATGTTCTGCCTACATCGTGTCTTTCATGGAATCTCTACAGAATTTAGAGATGGATGAATAATTGTCATAGAAGCTATGAGATATGTTATATCTATAAAATGTGTGGTGTAGGAGTATAGCTTTATAAAGAAATAAGTGGAAAATAGCTTTAATGATTATGAAGCTCATATAAGTGCTTGTAATAATGATAATCATGGTAAGAATGAAGCATTATCAAAATTAAACTTCCATATGCTTAGAACTAAATAGTAAATAACATAATAGAACCTAGTGGCGACAAAAAAGGTAAGTATCATTATGAGCCCAAAAGGTCATCAAAGTAAAAAGAATACTGTGCTAACCTAAGTATCATTTGGATAATATACCAATTAGTTATAACAAGAGCCTATTAGTTTGGTGCATGTTAGTGTATATAAAATTACAACAAAAAAGGGAATATTTGTTTGTTAGCCTTTATTTACTTTTTGCATTCTGTTATATCTTTAGGATATCTTCAGAATCTTTTAGTGGACACCTGTCCAGCCACCTCTCATGATTTTCTCTCTCTGCTGGTTGCTTTTTACAACCGTTTTCACACTTTTCTCTCTCTGCTGTATTTTAGGAAGGGTTCCCTATATATTCTGAACCCGTGTATTCATTTGTAAGCAACAATGATAATGAAGCTTCTCTATTAAATTTTTTATCTCCCTTGATTTTGTCTAACATGGTATCAAGAGCCTTCTGATCCTGTACCAGAACCCTAAATTTCCTTCCTCATTTCTTCTATGGCAACGTCAAATAATCTCTCTCCCTTTTCACAATTTTTCTCCAACTCCATAGCTGAAAAACTTGATGATTCGAATTACCTTCACTGGAGGCAGCAGATCGAACCAGTCATCAAGTCCCACAAACTTCAACGGTTTGTGGTTAATCCGCAAATTCCACCTCGGTATTTGACCGATGCTGATCGTGATTATGATATTGTTAATCTAGCATATGAAACCTGGGAGGTCCAGGATCAAATGCTTCTCACATGGCTGTAATCGACGCTCTCAAAGACCATTCTCTCACGAGTCATTGGCTCCATTCACTCTTATCAAGTGTGGGACAAGGTTCATGAGTATTTTCATACTCAAACTAAAGCTCGTGCACGGCAGCTCTGCATTGATTTGCGTTCCACCACTCTTGATGGTAAATCCATGCGTGACTTTTTGACTCAAATAAAAAATATTGCTGATGAACTTGTTGGAGTTGGGAGTGCTGTGTCACTTGAAGAATATGTTGATGCTGTTCTTGAAGGTCTGCCTCAAGAATATGCACCTGTGGTCTCTGTTATTGAAAGCAAGTTCGTCACTCCTCCTATTGCTGAAGTGGAAGCTCTTCTTCTTGCTCATGAGTCAAGAGCTAACCGGTTTCGTAAGCAATCTTTTTCTCCTTCTATTAATTACACTCAGGGCTATTCTCGTGGCAGTATTAGTGGTGAATCTTTTAGAGATAGAGGTGGTGGTCACAGTGGGCGTCGCGGTGGTCGATGTTCGGGCAGAGGCCGTGGTGGTCGATTTGCAAATTTCCAGTGCCAGATTTGCTTCAAGTATGGCCATACTACCAATGTTTGTTTCTATAGAGCTGATGTTAATTATCAACTTGCAAAATCCCTTGTTTTGTATGATCCTACCACACTGTAGCCTGTGCAGGTCACTCCTTCTTCAAATCTTAAGGTCTCCAGCACTTGGGTGAATCCTAATCAGAAACAGCCCAGCCAGGATGCTCATGCCAATGTCACACCAAGTGCTATGGTTGCTAATACTTCTCAAGAAGGTGCTAACTCTTCATGGATTCCTGATTCTGGTGCTTCGTTTCATGTTATTGGTGAGCCTCAGAACATTCATCAGCTTGAGCATTTTGATGGTCCAGACCAAATCTTCATAGGAAATGGTCAAGGTTTGCAAATCAATGGTTCTGGTTCTTCCTTTTTTGTTTCTCCTATTAACTCTCAATTTAAGTTTCAGCTGAATACTCTTCTTCATGTTCCCCTTATCACCAAAACTCTGTTGAGTGTTAGTAAGTTTGCTAAAGACAATTGTGTTTTCTTTGAGTTTCATGCTAATCATTGCGTCCACAAATCTCAGGAAACCAATGAGGTTCTTCTTCAAGGTATTGTTGGTGTTGATGAGCTTTATTCTTTTCCAAATCTAAAGCTCCAAAGTCCCTCAGCATTGGTCTTTTCTTCAGCTAAAATACCTTCTCAGTCTGCTGTCTCAACCTCTGCAGTTTTAGATAATTTCAATTTAAAAAAAAGTTCTGATGTATCTAGTTCTTCCACTATGTGGCATACTAGGCTAGGTCATCCTAATTCTCATGTTCTTAAGCTTGTTCTTACACAATGTAACCTTCTCCCATCAAATACATATGTTACTGAATTTTGCTTATCTTGCTGTGTTGGAAAGTCTAGACTTCCTTCTTCTGCGTCTCAAATTGTATATTCTGCTCCCTTGGATTTAATTTTCATTGATTTGTGGGGACCATCTCACATTACATCTTTTTCTGGTTATATTTACTATGTTGCCTTCATTGATGCATTCTCTAAATACACCTGGATATATCCCTTAAAATCAAAAGCTGAAACTCTCTCTGTTTTTCAACAATTTAAGGCTATGGCTGAACTTCAATTCAACACCAAAATTAAAAGTGTTCAACCTGATTGGGGAGGGGAATACAGAGCTTTTACTTCGTTTCTTGCCATAAATGGAATAGAACATAGACTGATTTGTCCCCACACACATCATCAAAATGGTGTGGTTGAAAGGAAACATAGACACATTGTTGAAATTGGCCTCACCCTTCATCATGCCTCCTTACCTCTACAATTTTGGGATTTTGCTTTAACCACTGCAGTTTATCTTATCAATAGATTGCCATCTGCTGCATTAAATTTTGATGTTCCTTTCACTATTTTATTCAGCAAATCACCTGATTACAAATTCTTAAGAACATTCGGTTGTGCTTGTTTTCCTTTCTTAAGACCATATGCCAGTCATAAACTTCATTTTAGATCCCAGGAGTGTTTTTTTTGGGATACTCAAACTCTCACAAAGGTTATAAATGTCTCTCTTCTTCTAGCCGAATTTACATCAAGGTTATCGATGGCGGATAACAGTCTATGGCGGTGAGGCCAAAAATCCTTTATAACTCTATGGCGGATGCCATGGCGGCCTATGGCAGACGTCATGGCGGACAAAAAAAATATAAAAAAATATTTATATATATATTATATACAAAAAAAAAAACAGCAAAACAATAAATAACAAGCAATAAAACTAAATTAAAACCAACATAATATCAACTTAAATACTTAAATATCATAATAACAATACCATAATTCATTGTCTCATAACATAATTGATTAAAACACACCAAAAAACATAGAAAAACAAGAGTACAGAAAGCATTTTTCAGTTCTAATCATCCTCATCATCACCATCCTCCCCCTCTTCCCCAATGTAATCATCCTCTCCATTGAATGCCAAAGGGGCATAGCCCTCAACTTCTTCACCTTCTGAATTGTCAAAGTTAATATTTGGCAATTCTTCCTCTGACTCCTCACTAATATCTTCTGAGTCTTCTTCAACAACTTCAACAATTTTTCCTTTTCCTTTCCTAGTTGAAGAAAACACTCCTTTGCCCTTTTTAGACGATGCTCCTTCCCCACTTGGAGGTTGCTTCCTCGAAAGGGGACTAGAGAGATTACGACTTACGAATTAGAAAGCAAGATGCGAGGAGCCTACCCATTTCTGTTTTCAGGTAAATTTCAGGGACGAAATTTCAAAAAGGAGGGGAGAGTTGTAACACCCCGATTTTCATAGATTATTTGAAAGCTCAAAGCCCAATAAGGGTAATTTAGTAGCCCAGAACGGATCGTTCCTAAACTGGAACGGGTCGTTCCAAACTACTAAAAAAACCTATTTTTGGTAGCCCATAACGGGTCGTTCCCAAACTGGAGCAGGTCGTTCCAAACTACTAAAATGGCCTATAATCCTAGTTGGGAACGGGCCATTCCAAACATGGTCATTATGTGTTAAAACACAATCCCAGAACGGGTCGTTCTGATTTAAGAATGACTCGTTCTAGATGTGAATTTTACACATGATGAATGAGTCTAGAACGGGTCGTTCCGGATCTAAAATGGGCCGTTCTGGCCACTCCTGACATCTATAAATAACAGACTATGGCATTGCTTTTGGACACACTCTCTGAAGACCAAGGAGAACCAAGAAAAGGAGATCAACCAGATTCCGCTCTAGCTTCGTCTTCTACTTATCCAGGTAAGGGGGGAGTGAGAAACCTCGCTTGGGGGTGTGGGAATAATTATTGGGTAGTAGGATTGACCCCCAATCCCTTGCCTGGTGTATGCTAGCAAACTTGGTGATTTTATCCACTATAACCCAAAAAGAATCAAATTTCATAAGCATCTATAGGCAAACCTACAACCAAGGTCTATCTACACACCATCTCACTTCCAAAATGGGATGTCTAAAGGTTGTAAAAATCCTAAAGACTTATAGTGTTCTACCTTAGGCTTCTGGCATACTACACACGAGTACATAAATTCCTCTACTCCTTTCTTTATTGAGTATGTTGAAAGTGATTAGTGAATTAATGGATGAGATTATAAAAGCACAGGAGTTAGATCCTTTCTTAGTGAACCAAGTAGAGAGGATTGGTAGGGGTATAGATAACCCTTTTTGAGTAGGAGTTGATGTTGTTTTGAAATTCAAGAATAAAATTTAGGTGCTTAGTAATCCTGAATTTAGGAAGATGATCTTAGAGGAAGGACATAAGAGTACTCTTAGCATTCATTTAGGAGCTACTAAGATGTATCAGAGTGGCGCAACGGAAGCATGGTGGCCTAAGGTAAAGAAAGGAGTAGAGGAATTTATGTACTCGTGTGTAGTATGCCAGAAGCCTAAGGTAGAACACTATAAGTCTTTAGGATTTTTACAACCTTTAGACATCCCATTTTGGAAGTGAGATGGTGTGTAGATAGACCTTGGTTGTAGGTTTGCCTATAGATGCTTATGAAATTTGATTCTTTTTGGGTTATAGTGGATAGACTCACCAAGTTTGCTTGTCTTACCCTTATTGATAATAGATATTCCTTAGAGAGATTGATAGAGTTGTACATCAGTGAGGTAGTGAGGTTATATAGGTTTTCCTACTAGTATAGTTTCCGAAAGGGGACTAGAGAGATTACGACTTACGAATTAGAAAGCAAGATGCGAGGAGCCTACCCATTTCTGTTTTCAGGTAAATTTCAGGGACGAAATTTCAAAAAGGAGGGGAGAGTTGTAACACCCCGATTTTCATAGATTATTTGAAAGCTCAAAGCCCAATAAGGGTAATTTAGTAGCCCAGAACGGATCGTTCCTAAACTGGAACGGGTCGTTCCAAACTACTAAAAAAACCTATTTTTGGTAGCCCATAACGGGTCGTTCCCAAACTGGAGCAGGTCGTTCAAAGGGCTATATATTGGTGGACCCTTGCTGTAGCTTCTTTGTCACAACTCTCTCTTATATTTATTTGCTTCAATTTCTCCTTGTTTTTTGCAATTGCTGTTTCCGGACGTTTACAAAAAAGGTCAATAGGCCCTTTTTTCGTAGCAACCTTCTTCCTTTCATTGATCTCATGTGTCTCAACTTCTAACTCTCTTAAATCTCCTTCCAATGCATAATCTTCACTACCAAAAGTCACATCTTCCATTATTCTTTGACATGACTCACTTTCTTTCATCTTCTTATTTTTCTCAAGTGCCCACAACTCATCTTTAACCTCTTGTGGAACACTTTGACAAGGTGCAACATTTCCCTTCTTTCCCATTAGATGTTGCTTTGCTCTTGTAATTCCTCCTTTCATGATTTTTTTACAATAATTGCACATAATTTCATTTGTATCATTGTCTTTGGTAGGATGACAATGTTTCCATCCTATATCTGTCCTCTTTACAGAGTTTGAGGATGTTTGACTTTGAGTTTGAGGATTGCTAGACATTGTCCTAAAAATAAAAATAAGAACAATAAAAAAAAATAGAGATTTGAATTGAAACAATTAGTACAAGAATTAAAAAAAAAAATTTGATGTTGCAGATTAAAACTGCATAGTAAAAACTAAATAAAAAAGTTCATGTTGCAGATTAAAATCTGCAGAGGACTTTAATCAAAAAAAAAAAAAAACTGCAGAGGAAAAACAATAAAAAAATTGATGTTGCAGATTAAAAACTGCAGAAAATTGAGTAGGAAAAAATAAAAGAAGAAGGAGGATTAAAATTGCAGAGGAAAAAAAAAATAAAACCTTTCAGGTTTTACGTCACCGGAGCTGCTCGCCGGAGCGCTAAACCACCACGATTCAGGTCGCCGGCGAGAAACGTGACCAAAGGGTGGTGGGCGATGGTGAACGGTGATCAAAGGAGGTTTCGAACAGCCTTCTTCCTGTTCACGCGCACGTCGTGGTTGAGGTTTTCGGAGTCGCGGACCACCGCGGTTCAGGTCGTCGGACGGAGAGGTGGCCGGCGAGTGGTGGGCGATGGCGGAGGAAGGTCAACGGAGACGGGTTGAAGAAGGTTGTCGAGCTGCGCGAGTGCTGGTGGCTACGTGCGTTCTCATTCATGAACCCTAAAACCCTTAGGGCATGCTTATTGGGCCTACGCTGAAGCCCAAAACTGGCCCAAAAACCTTTACGTCCGCCATCACCTTCATAGCGGAACAGCTCAAAACGGCCATGGCGGCCGCCACAGCGGAAATGGCGGACGGCGCCATAAAACGTGATTTTTCGGATGGCGAATGGCGGAGAGGCTCGAAACCGCACTGCCATACCGTTATAACGCCTTTATAACGGTTATTTGATAACCTTGATTTACATTTCAAAAGATGTCATTTTTAATGAACATAGGTTTCCTTACACAGATTTGTTTCAGCCAAGTCCTACTCAAAATGTCTCTCCATGTCAATACTTCACTCTCAATCCGGATTTGTCTCCTCCTTGCAATACTTCACCTGTTCTCTCACAGCAGCCTCCTCTGTCTTCTCAAATTGGTGATCTCGGTGTATCAATCAATCCTACAGTGTCTTCTTCACAAAATGTGTCTCCTTCTTCTCATGAGTCTTCCTCACATAATGTCTCTTCTCCTACCTCTTCCTCTGACACTACAAGTATTCCTAGAACCATTAATAACCATCCCATGCAAACCCGGTCTAAATCTAGCTTTCATAATCCTTGGTTACATCCATCTTTGTTCTTGGCTCACAGTGAACCTAAAAATGTTAAGCAAGCTCTTGCTGATCCTAATTGATTCTCTGCTGTGCAACAAGAGTACAATGCCTTAATGCTCAATCATACTTGGGATTTAGTTTCCCTGCCATCTGATCGCAAAGCAGTTGGATGTAAATGGGTTTTCAGAGTCAAGGAAAATGCTGATGGCTCTATAGATAAGCTCAAAGCTCGGCTGGTTGCAAAAGGTTTTCATCAAGTGCATGGTTTTGATTTTCATGAGACATTTTCTCCTGTTATTAAACCTATAACTATTCGAATCATTATCACTCTTGCTCTCACCCATAACTGGGACCTATTTCAGCTTGATGTAAATAATGCCTTTCTGAATGACAATCTAGAAGAAACTATTTACATGGTGCAGCCTCCTGGCTTTGAAGCTGAGGATAAGAATCTGGTTTGCAAGCTCAACAAGGCTCTCTATGGCTTGAAACAAGCCCCTCGACAGTGGTTTGACAAACTGAAATTGACTCTTACTCAGTTTGGTTTTCAAGCTAGTAAGTGTGATCCATCTCTGTTTTGGTACAAACATCAAACTCATACCATCTTTATTCTAGTTTATGTGGATGACATCATTATCACTGGCAGCTCTTCTTCCCTCATTCACCAAATCACCAATCAACTTGACTCCATTTTTTCTTTAAAGCAATTGGGAAGCTTGGATTACTTTCTAGGTCTTGAGGTTAAATACTTGCCTGACAAATCTCTGGTTCTGACTCAAAGCAAGTACATTCGGGATCTTCTCTTTAAAACCAATATGGCTGAAGCTCATGGTGCTCCTTCTCCTATGTTCTCTAACTGCAAATTGTCCAGGTCTGGGACTGACTTCTTTCATGATCCCACTCTTTTTAGATCTGTTGTTGGTGCCTTACAGTATGCTACACTCACAAGACCTGAAATTAGTTTTGCTGTTAACAAAGTTTGTCAATTCATGGCTAATCCTCTTGACTCTCACTGGGTGGCTGTCAAACGAATCCTAAAGTATTTAAAAGGCACTCTCTTATGGTCTTCATATGCAACCTGCTGCTGTAGACGGTCCCATCTCTCTTACTGCTTTTTGTGATGCTGATTGGGCCTCTGATATTGATGACAGGAGGTCCACTTCTGGTTCTGCTATCTTTTTTGGACCCAATTTGATATCTTGGTGGTCCAGGAAACAACGTGTTATTGCTCGGTCTAGCACAGAAGTTGAATATCGTAGTATAGCTCGAGCTTCTACTGAGTTACTGAGTTAACTTGGATTCAAGCTCTTCTGCAGGAACTTCAGATTCCCTTATCTACACCTACTTTGCTCTGTGACAATCAAAGTGCAGTGGCCATTGCCCACAATCCTGTCTTCCACAGCAAAACAAAGCACATGGAGATTGATGTGTTCTTTGTTCGTGACAAAGTTCTCTCCAAGCAACTTCTGGTTTATCACATACCCGCTCTCGATCAATGGGCTGATCTTCTTACTAAGCCACTGTCTGCTACTCAATTTGAAGTTCTTAGGGGCAAACTCAACGTGTGAAGTTTTTGTGACAAACCTCCACCTTGAGTTTTAGGGGGGCTGTTAGTGTATATAAAATTACAACAAAAAGGGAATATTTGTTTGTTAGCCTTTATTTACTTTTTGCATTCTGTTATATCTTTAGGATATCTTCAGAATCTTTTAGTGGACATCTGTCCAGCCACCTCTCATGATTTTCTCTCTGCTGGTTGCTTTTTACAACTGTTTTCACACTTCTCTCTCTGCTGTATTTTAGGAAGGGTTCCCTATATATTCTGAACCCGTGTATTCATTTGCAAGCAAGAAAGATAATGAAGCTTCTCTATTACATTTTTATCTCCCTTGATTTTATCTAACAGTGCAACAAAATAAGTCCATGATCCATCTTCTAGGTTGAATGAAAAGCCCCAAAACATTTTCATATATTATATCCATCCTTGTTAGTTTTTTAACTAAATATTTTAAGCTCAATGCATAAACTTGAAGTGGTTGGTTATGACAATGAGTTGTACCTTTTGAGCTAATATCTTAGCTTTCTCCGTTGTATGTTTTTTAGTTGTGGTAATTAAGTTATATTTCAATCTTTTAGGTCAGAATAATAGAGGATGCTTCTCTGTATGCACTTTGTAGATCATGGTTGAGAAATGGAATAAATGAAGAAAGCCAGGTTTGAGATATATTTGTACTTCCTCTTTTTATCATCTTTTGACTTCAAGCATATGATGACTTGCTAAATGTTATTCTATAATTCTAGTTTGATGTTGAAGAAATGATACTAATTGCATGTATACTTTGATGATTTATAAAAGTAGCATCAACTATTGCAAACTTTTGCTATAATTAAACTTCCATTTTAAAAAAGGTTTGATTTGAGGAGACTTCATGAATGGTTGTATTTTATCCTATGTATAAAGGTGATTCTTGATCAAGTCATTTTTTTTTGTAAAATTTGAATGAAATACATGGATTTTATAATGCTGCCGTCTATGAACTAGGGTCTATGAAGCCCAAATACTTAGTACGACATAGGTATGATACGGCACAGATACGAGGATATGACAATTTCTTATAAATTTAGGATATGATACGTCAATAAACTTTTATAGAAAGATTTATATAGATGTAGAATATTGGTAAAGAAAGAGACATTAATTCTTTCTTATTAATTCATATTTATGATGATTATAATTTACAAAAAAGATATTTGTAATCATAACAACAAAAAATACAGGTTTTGCCCATATTAAGTTAACTATATTAATAAAAGCATCTTTGGTAGAACTTAAAACTAATATTGGTTCTATACAATGGCTTATAACTCAAAAGCATTATTACTAAATTACTGTCTGGTAATTGTATCACTCTCTTCTCTCCTATTACCATCATCTAGAAAAAAACATAGTTTTAAAGTTTGGTTCATCAAGAGAGAACTCTTCCAAATCAAGAAGTCTAGCACCATCATCATGTGTATGATGTATACCTCTACTAATGTCTCACAACCTAGTCTTTTTTTTTTTATACTCTTCATCTTTCATGCATCTTAGAATAGTGAATTTGAGCCTAACTTAACCTTACTAAACTGGCTTATAAGGTGAGGATTGAGGATTGCTCTCCACTTATATACTCTTTAATTGCCTTATCTTTAATCAATGTGAGACTTAGGTTTTTTCCAATACACCCCCTCACATCCAGTACTATTGGGCTTGGTACGTGGATAAATGGTGGATGACCCTTTTTAATGATCTAGGATAGGTGAACCTTTTTTTAATGATGTAAGATAGATTTGATACCATCTTAGAATAGTGGATTTGAGCTTAATTAGAGATAAGGAAATTAAAGAATATATAAGTGGAGAGCAATTCTCATCTTACAAGTCCGTTTTGTAGAGTTGAGTTAGGCTCAAATCCACTATTCTAAGAATGAACAAAAGTTGAAGGTTGAAATGCACATAAGCCAAATCTTCTATCCTTTTCAATCCATTTTGTTTTTCTTCAAAGAATGAATAAAAGAGTATGTACCCCAATTCCTTTCATAGCATGACAAAAAAATGATTGTACAAAAAGCTAAAGAAATGATTTTTTGGATACTTTTCAATTACATATCTAGAAGTATCTAGGAAGTATTTGAGGAAAAAAAGGTTAAAAAATAAATAAAAAGGATTAGATATGTTTCAGATACCTTTTTGAAAGTATCTAAGGAGTATGAGTATCTAGCACGGGTATAATACTTATTCTTTTCCATTTTTGGAGTATCCAGGCTTTATAGACTAGGGTCTTATAACCTGTTCACTTGATTACAAGTTTAACTGGAACACATAGTCTGGGTTTAAAAATTGTGACTAGGATATACCTTTCTCAGATAAACTTGAATTTGAATTTAATTAAAATCATCTAAAACTAACTTTTTTGGAGCCAAATCATTTGAGGAAGTTGTATGGATAGTTAATGTCAAAGCACTTAACACTAGATATTAGAATGTGAAGGTTTCAAGAGTAAGAAAATTGAAAATGAAATTGTATTCTTCATATATTAATCAGCTATAAGAGTGTACAAATTTATATGCAAGTAGGTAGACTTTGAGAAGAGTGTAGAACAAGCTACTGACTTTGCTAACTCAACATTGGTGTAACACAAAGCTAACTGACAGAGTTGCGGATGGAGAGAAAGATAGCATACTAAAGAGTCGCTATTATAAAAGTAGTCAAGAAGAAAGCTAACAAGTATATACGTTAGGTTGTATGCTTTAACACTCCCCCCACAAACTCAGGGTGATTTATAATGATCAATGACCTAGAGTTTGTCTCTCAAGTAGTAGAATCTGTTCTTGGACATGGGCTTGGTGAGGATATCACCTATTTGGTCTTGAGAAGGACACAAGAGACAATCCAAGAGTGAGCTAAAACCTTTTCTTGAACAAAAATAAATGTCCAGCTCCATATGCTTGGTTATGGTTCTCAAAACAGGGTCGTGACTCAAGGCAATAGTGCTTTGATTGTCACACTAAATGATAAATGTGGCTCAATCGTTCCTTAGTTCTTGTAGAAGAGGCTGAATCAGTGAATCCACAGGATTTTGATGGTAGTGGTGGCAAGACTTGTGTACTTTGCCTCAACGCTTGATCTAGCTACTAGAGTTTATTGGACCGCCAAGAAATTAAATTTGGACAAAGAAACAAGCACTCACTAGATGTGGATCTTTGGTCATCAATGAGAGGTCCAATATGCATCACAATAGGCATATAGTAGACTAAGATTTAGAAAAGATAGGTTACAAACTGAGACCATATGTGATTGTCCCTTTCATGTATCGCAAAATTCTTTTTATTGCCCTCTAATGATCTATATCAAGGGTTGTGCCATAAATTGGCAAACGTTGCTGCATTGTAACCAATTTAGGTCTTGTTACTTACTATTATACATTGCAAAGCACCGACAGCAGATATATGCAAAACAAGATCAATTACATGTTCAGAACCATATTTGGATAGCTTCATTTGTCCCTGTCCTGGTAAAGGATTGGAAGTTCCATTGGCCTCTGACATACTAGTTGTATCTAGCAAATCTATGATATATTTGGTTTGAGATAAGAGGGGAGAACCATTTTTGAAGTCTTTGACCTCAATGCCTAGAAAATAGTCAAGATCCCTTAGTTGATTGAAAGCAAAAACTGAATGGAGTTGAGTGATAGCTGTCTGAAATTTAATTTGTATGTGTTTTAGAATAATATATTCTCTTAGAATGTGGGTTTTGGGCCTAAATAAACCCTACAAAACTTATTTGTAAGGTTAGAGTTGCCTTCCACTTATACACTATATTTTGGCCTTATCACTAGCCAATTTGAGACTTGAGTTTTTGTTTAATACACTTCCTCACACCTAGGACTATTAGGCTTGGTGTGTGAATAATATGGTAGGTGACCGGTTAATTGATTTAGGATAGAATTTGATACCATCTTAGAATGTAGATTTTGGTTCTAATTCAATCCTATAAAATTGACTTGTAAGGTGAGGTTGCTTCTCACTTATATACTCTATTTTCATCTTACAATGTGGGTTTGGGCCAACTCAACCTTACAAAACTAGCTTGTATGGTGAGAGTTACCATTTACCTATATATTATATTTTGGCCTTACTACTAGTCTTGAGCACTAATAGAAAAGGATTGCACTTGTTTTGAACATTGCCAAACAAACCTAGCGAGAGTTTTAGTGATTCTTTCATACCAAGTACCTACTTAAGACCATAGATAGTTTTTTGTAATTTGTAGACAAGATCTGAGTTTCTATATTCAAAGCCTAATGGTTGAACCATGTATTCATCCTCTTCTAATAGACCATTCAAAAATGCATTGTTTACATCAATTTGTGAATATGCCAATGATTTGTGAGGGCTAAGGTGATAATAAGTCTAGTAGTAATAGATCTTATCACTAGAGAAGAAGTTTTTGAATAATTACAATCAAAATATTGATGAACATCTGTAGCAACAAGTCAAACTTTGTATCAAATAGTAAAGCTTCAGAGCGTGGAGGGTAACTGTTGAAGTTCGCTAATAGGCTCATTTGAGACAAAGACTATTATAAGATGAGAAGCAAGTGGAGTGCAAACAATTTGAAGGCTTTACTTGGGTTTAGGTACATGACCCAACCCTTTTACTTCCCTTTTTCCTTTTTTTTTGCCACAAACATTATAGTCCCCATGGTTGCCATAGGTATGACGGTTGCCATGTGAAACTTGCTATTCTGCCGCCATAAAATGCCTGTATCAATTTTCTACCATTGAAATCTGCCATGGCTGCTATTTAACAATACTGCATTATAGAGTAGCGTATGATTAAGATGAGGATTGAAAATACTAAACTTGGAATGAAATTGCATAGGGTGAGTGGATTTGGAGGTTGTTGTGAGGATTGAGAGGCTGAAGAAGGAGAAGAAGAATATGGATTTATGGTGCTTTAGGAAGTAGAAGGTAAGGGCCCAAGAGAAGAAGGGGGAGAAAGTAATAGTTGAGTAACATGCTGTACTCTAAATAGGGTTAAAGTTTGTCTTAGGTAGGTGAAGAAAAGGATGCAAGAATTGCACAAGGCATAGTGGTAGGCATGACACTAAGAGGTAGCACTCTAGTAGTAGTCATAGGATTAGGGGAGTACTGGGGGAGTTCCAAGTTTTAGTAGCAAAGGAGAATTTAGATTTTAGACTCATCAAACATCTATGTAAATGGAAATTTTTTCCATTGGTATGTAGACACTTGAAGCCTTTGTCACGAGGATAATAACCAAGGAATGTGCACTATGTAGATTAAAATTGCAATGTGTTTGACGTTTAAGGTCAAATGTGAGGATAACAAGCACAACTAAACACCTTTTGGAGTGCATAATTAGGATGTTTATCAAATAGTGAGTAAAGAAATGGAATGACAAGAGCAGAGGATGGTATCTTGTTCATTAGATAGATTATTGTGTGAAAGGCATGATCCTAAAAGGATATGGGAAGAGAGGTTTGAGATTTGTGTGAGTCCCATTTTGATTATATGATGATGTTTTCTTTCTATTACACCATTTTGGTAGTGAGTGAGGACATGTGTGGTGATGATGGTTAACAAGAGAGGTGGGGAATACCAACATTGGTTGGCACAAGTGGTAACGACTTGTGTCCTTTAACCAAGTTGTGCA